AAATGGAAAAATAGAATTCGAACTTCAGTTTAGTAAATGCATTGCATCGCATGCAAACACTACTTCGAAAACGATTATATACATACGTTTCTTGGTAAGATAGAGCCTCCGTTGATGAAGCCTAACGCAATAGACAGTTTAATATACCACTTAGGCCTTGTGAAAGTGCATTCGACAAATTTGGACTCAGCCGATTAGAACACTCGATGTCCCAACCCGAAATCCTGCAGTTGTGCAGTGCTCTCAGACTGACGCAATCCCATTTAGACGCGGTCTAATTGGATCAGCTATATTGGTTTAGTTCCCTTCAATCCAATACCGATTTCTTTCTGTTTACATAAATTCAAATGAGCTATTTCTTAAATAAAATTTACTTTAACAAGCCATTACAATTATATTATTTCTCTATGAAACAACTTATTGCAGGCAAACACAGTGACAAACGCGTGTTTTAGATCCTGCATTTCATGTTTAGCATCATCGTAAGATCAGACCGTAACCAGAAGGAAACCGATGAATCTTCCTGCTTGGTATTCTAGTCACAGAACAAAAGTTAAAGTGGGACATACAATTTTGAGATCACATCAATTGACTATGAAAGGAATCGTACCATTTCTTTATTTCGTTCAACTCGACCATTTAATAGAGGAGGGGTAAACCAAATCGGAAAGTAAACTTTGAGATAGACGCTAAAATTATGAACATTCATAATTTTTTTGAGAACAAAATATAGCCTTTATACCTATATATTACCTTTCTATTAAGGTATTTGTATAATATTAATTAAATAACTTATCAAAATTAAATTTAAACCTTGTATCCCAAAATTTCAAATATCTAGGTAAAATTTTAGAAAACAATAAATATTGGCAATTTTTTACAAATTATTAAGAAATCCTAATAGCAATCAAATTTTAATGGATAATGGATTAAGATTGATTGTATTACAGATAATATTCTGAATAAGTATATACACACATCAAAAGTGTCTAGGGATCAACATATATTTTTGCAATAACTTTTCTCCTGATTGATATTAATTAAAATTTTCTTTAAGGATTCATCAAATAAAGTGTTTTCGTTTGTCACAGTAACGATAAACCAAGTCACCTTTGCATTAATAAAGAAATTTGCCATTTTCCTAATAAAGGGATTTTTGACATTTGAACCAGTAACACAAAAGTTCGAAAAAAAGACTGAAATAACAGTTTTCTCTAAAATTTTATTGGGTAACTTAAACAATTAATAATCCGTATTTCTACCGCGAACACTAACAACACAAGAACATCGGTTTGGCATACTCAAAATGAGTTCATCCAAATCACGCTGTGGAATAGCCGCCCATGTTCGTTGCAACAACAAAAAAAGGTCTTCTTGCGACTGGATACCCTCCATATTCGGCAGAGCTCTTCTCTGTAGCATATCCCATGCATGCTCAATCGGGTTCAAGTCTGGCGACTGAGCAGGCCAGGGCAGGACATTGATGTTAGCTGCGGCGAGAGTCTGTCTTACAACTCTTGCGGTGTGCGGTCGTGCATTATCATGCATTAACTGAAATAAGGGACCGATTTGCACTTGTAGAGGAACGATGACGTCTGATACAATCGTCTCAGCATAAATTTGAGCGTTGAGGTTGCCTCTGATCCAAATCAACTCAGTTCTTCCGCCGATCCAAATACCCGCCCATACCATGATGGTTCCACCACTATAAGGATGGACTTCCTGGCAGGATTTTAATCGCTGTTGGCGTCCAGGGGTTCTCCAGTGTCGTATACGTCTTGTATCCGGTCTCATACCAAAACGAGACTCATCAGAAAAGCACACGAAACGCCATTGTTCTTCTGCCCAATTTCTGTGTTCAAGAGCCCATTGATATCGAATCCTACGATTGTGCATTGCTATAGGTGGTACCCGTAGAGGTCTTCGGGAATGAAGGTTCACTTCATGCAAGCGGTTTCTGACTGTTTGGTCGCTAATTAAGTTCCCTGAAGAGTGATGAAGCCTCACGGCTAACATCATGGCGGTTATTGTTGGAGCTCTTCGAGTTAAGATTTGAATGTATCGGTCTTGTCTCCGTGTGGTGCAGCGATACCGTCCTCCATGGCGCTCAGCCACGGTACCAGTGCTTCGGTATCGTGTCCAAAGTCGACTGATAACACTCTGACTTGCATTCAGAGCTAAAGCCACAGTACGTTGCCGGGAACCAGCTTCTATCATTCCCACGGCTCTGAGCATTTCTTCCCTGCTTAAATGACGTCGCCGCTCCATAATAACGTTGGTTTTAATCAGTAGTAGGGAAACAGTAGCACTAATAATGTCTTCAATGCGTTGTATGTTTTTATAGGGAAAATATTGACAGCTGATTTTCATCTTTTACTCGAATTTGATTCACAGTTCCTGATTCAAATTATGAAATGCACCAAAAAGGATCCATATAAATTTATAAAATCATAAATTTATTACAAAGCCACATCTCAATCTCAAGAAATCCGCATAAAAATGCTTGATCCCTAGACACTTTTGATGTGTGTATATTTGAGTATTTTCTTGAAAAAAATATTCTTAATAGCATTAGCTGATTTTTACTATAAGTCGTGTCTGTAAAAAAGTAGTTATATAAAACTTACTGCTTATAATAATTACGCGATTAGACAATGAGTATACATAGAATTGGGGGAATTTCGAATAAATTATTGTTAGGTTATTTCACAGCAATAAGTATCATAATTATACGTAGTCTTAAATTCAATTTATATGATTCCACTATAATAAATATCTTTTTTTGTAAAGCATTCTATAGTATGTATACCACGATAAAGGAACCTACGTTTAACGTGGTTCACTGCGTTCTTGGGAGGTTTGATTTATGTTCATGACGAAAATTGGCTCTCATTTATGTTGTATGTTAACTACGCAAGTTGGATGAACATAAATTAAACATGAAGGTGTGTTCGATGCCGAAGACGAATTGGACGACCGAATCGGAACTTATTTGTTTATATTAACTCAAATCAAGTTGTTACTCAAACCAACTCGAAATTGGTCATGTTTCAGTTATCATTAATGGATAAAGTTTCAAGTTACGTTTGCGAAGAACTATTCAACAGTAAATGAATTTAAGTGGAGTGTGGAATAGTATAGCGATTTAATGACAGTTGAGTTGTGGTACTCTACTGTATAGCAATGTATATTTGGTCGATTATTAAGGAAATGCAATTATTGTAAGGGTTGAACATCGGATGGGTTTCGATTCAAAAGTGTTGTACTATACATCCAATTTGAATAAAGATATATTGATTTCTGATTTCTGGGTGACCACATATTACCATTAATTTAATGCTTCGGTGAACACAACCATCGATTCCATTGGTAGTGCTACAATTCAAAACTGTAAAAAAGTGTTCTCCTGCAACTATATCTTATAAAAATTCAACAGTATATATTACCATAGATATCGCCTATTTTATGGAAAATAATCTTCATAATGTTAAAATGTTCTCCAGCTTTGTCTAGAGGAAGCAGGTTGATGATAATAATCATACAGTACATTATATTAGTAAGTGACAATAAACAAGTACCTAATACTTTAAAAGAAAACTTTCGAATTATCATTCAACAAAAAGAGTTAGTTTCCCCAAATAGCTCAGTTTATTGTCTTACTTATGTTTGAATTCTAAATTCGAAAATGTAACTGTATACTTCCCGATTTTCGCTTTGCTAATTTACAAATACCTAAAGATCCAATACAACAGCGCCGAAAGTTCTACATTAATTTGAAACTTTTCGTAATATCATCGCGTCGAAAGACGAGACGGCGCGGCCGAAGACGGATTTCGAAACTTTTATTTCACTACACATTACCGCAGTATTTAATCCTCGTGAGAAAATAACTTACGACGCAGCTGCTCGGACGCTCTTCCTCAATATTTTAAAAGTGATTTCAGATATCGTAAAAATACAGGAAGTTCGGAGGAAACTTTTAAAAAGCCACTCGCCTCTCTTATTTTTTCCTTACAAACCCATACCCAAAAAGTTGAATAGTTTTACATCGGGGACCCTCCGATAAAGTGTCATAATTTAGCTGAAATATTGTCTATGAGCGGGAGGGACGTAGTTTGACACATTATGTGGATTTTATTACGCTGTTTGTATTGTTAAAGTAAGAAGTTAACGGAAATCTCTTGATTAGCAAATACGTTTTTCATGTGTGCTAACCATTAATCGAAAGGGGCTATTAGTCACTGACACGTCATCACAAGTCGCTAATAATATGAAGCGTATTTAATATTTGTGATAAATCATGATAATAATTGATGAAAAACAGTTTTACACATTATTTATTCAAAGAAAAACATAGCTAATATTTTCGACACTAAACGTCAAAAAATAAATATACTTGCTGTAATATTTACACACAAACAGTTGCAAAACAAACATAATATAATATCCAGAATCGAGTCCAGTATTCACCGTATGAAGTAAGCCAAAATGAGAACCATCGGGTGAAACTTTTCTCTTTGCGAGAAAGTTTGTGATGTGAACAGAAACCCGGGCGGTTCCCTCGGGACGTCGCACATGCATGTTTAATGGCGTCCTAGAAAGGTCAAGAGTCTCACTGTAGAGGTAGTGAATACATTACTATATCCCAAGCGAGTGTGTAGGCAGGTTGCCTTGCAATGACAGCCTCTTTTCCAACTTGGAGAAACTAATACGAGGACAGGTAGTTTGTAGCTGTCTCTCAAACAAATTAATTGTGTCTTAGTTTTGAGTCGTAACGAGGGAACTCAAACAAACTTTTGAGGAAGGTCCCCCCGTCTTCAAATGTTATGGCGTGAATTCGCAAAATTATACTGACAGCTGACGCGACAGGCATTCGTTAATTGGTAAATACCAAGACTTCTCCGAAAGTGTGTTTAACTTCGAACAAAATGTAGCAATTCGCTTACGTTCGTGAAAAAATGTTTAATTAGACTTTTGATTACTTTTAAAATGGTGTTTACCTTTTGGCGGGTTGATGTGAAGTGCGCTTCGGAACAAACTTTCTTCATCACGCCAGTCGAGGTTTCGGCGCATAGTGTAACTGCACATCGAAGACAAGGCGATCAATAACGTCAACATGAACACTCTGCTCCTTGTCTCGTTCCGATGGCAGCCTCGCGTCACGACTCCAGCTCCCAAACCGAGCAATAAACAGAAACCAACGCTCGGTATGTATAGCACTCGCTCCGCAACCACAAAACCAACATAAAATAGGAGATTAGTAGCAGGCACGAACGGCAAGACCATAAATGCCATGAACATTAGTAAAGCAACTTGGGGACTGCGATAAATGTTTCTCTGAATATTAGGTGTTTTAGATTTTGAGCTTGCCATCGGGCAGACACAACTCGAATTGTGCATCATAGTGTTATTGTTGTTGATTGCTCGACACGCAGTAGTGTGTTCCTCAGTGAGCGTGTGTCTACACCCTGTGCATGGGCACAATAACTTCTTACATGAAACGTTAATATTGTGTGATACATAATAGCTCTTCCTTTCGCCGCAGTCTTGACCTCTATTAAACTGTTTATTGTTAGAACTCCACCTATGTCTGGTCTTGCAGTTTTGTTTCTTGTGATATTTTATGTCTTTATTAGATCTCTCGTGCCGCTTTCTCAATTCATTTTTTATAGCTCTTAGCGTTACTTTCGATATGACGGCGTAGAATATAACTGTAGATATGTTTCTGGGGTCAGATATGGTTGTGATTCGAGGTATCGATTCCATAGACCAATCGAAGCTTAAATGGAAAGGGTAAAGGAGGAGGAAGAAGTTGAAGACGGGTAAGTAGGAGAAGGTATAGAATCTAGTGAAGATGGATGGGTCCCTAGATGCGGGGTTGTCGGCTGCGGCGAAGGCAGTGGGCGTGCCCGCGACGCGAATTCTCCAATAAAGCAAAGCGAAGCCGCCTGTTCCAAGTGCACAAATGCTTCTCCAGCGACTCTGTGAACAAAACAAAAGATATTGTGGAAATCTATTACCATATTGTCTCATTTCCTATTATAAACAAACACAATCATTCTTATATTACAAGAAACTGACAGGTACTTTGAATAGTGTCATATTAAATGCAAATATAACAATTTAATAAAATGGAAACAATTAAATACATGTTCAATTGTCAAGTGTGCATCATATCTCTGCGAGTATTTTTCAAAGTATCTTTTCCTAACTTCATGGTGATTGATTGATTACCTTGAGAGAGAGAGAGATGTGTCATTAATATCTGTCAAAGAATTTGCCGCTATATTTCAGATTTTTCATAAAATATTCTTATCACATGTACAATGTCCCAATTATAAACTGAAATGTAACGAACTACTGTAAACAGTAAAATAAACTTGAATGAATAAGTAAATACCAGTTCAACGAATACTCAAAAAAAATAGTGACTACTGCTTTGTGTAACCGAAACCTGTTTTATTTACTTTAACTAAGTTACATGGTGTAGCATATGACGCATTTGGAAAAAGTAAAATAATGATACCTAATACATATTATCTATTCACGTTACAGTCGTGTTTCGAAGACCTTTTGCGATATACAGGGTGTTGCCCTTCCTTACCAAATAGCCCATTTCGGCTTAACCTAGCGCTAATTTTAATCCTATGCTGAGGTAACTCGATAAAATTGATTTATAACGGAGCAACTCGCAAGACGTCCCTTTAGATTATTAAATTACCTACTGGTGCCGTAGGAACCCTCTTTCAGCATATGATTAATATGGTAATACTATCGGTTAGGTATTTTAATCTACTTAAAGTGGTGTTATTATGAAAGTTTTCGGGGTTATTTACTGGTGGGTTGCGGAGGCGAGAGTGAGCCTTGTTAGTTGTGGGAAGAGTGAGGAAAAGATTTATTAAGGTAACCGCGTCCCCTGCTCACCCGCTTAGCCCAGGGGATGCCGTGAGCAGAACTAACGACGCCGTTTCGGATTTCCAGCACAATTTACAAGACGCCACGGTGAAACGGAAATCTGAGGGAACTTAGATGAGCGTTGGATTAATCAATCGAAACGTGTATAGGCAACTGAATAATACAGGTTTTCGCACGTCGTTGCTTGCCGATCGATCTGATGTTTCCGCTTAAGGCGATAATTCAGCCCCGATGGTTCGCCGATCAGATGGTATTAATATTGCGCCGTGTGCGGGATGAATACGAATGTTTTATGCTGTATTTGCTGATGTTATACGAAACCGAGTGGTTATATATTTATTAAATAGGTAAATCGTGAAAATAATATTATGCGTATTTGTAAAGTTTTGTTTTGTTGATTTTTCGTTAAATGTTGACAATATTACTCGTACTTACGAACTATTACGTGGTACAGGGAAGTACTACCTTCATCAATAGGTTTTTGAAAATCTATAAATATGCTCATTCTTTACTATTCCAATTTCTGAGTAATAAGAAAGAGAACTGGGTTATGGCTTCAATAAATACTGAATTTTATACGCTAACACTATGAAAAATAACATCCTTTGTTCTAATAAAGTATACCTTTACAAATGAAAGATTTCAAAGAATGTTCAAAAAATGCTTAATGCGCTATATTGCTGATATATTGTAATTTTAATAATTTCTCTGTCATCTTTAAAATGCTTCTTTTTTTTTACCGTACAACAATTGCTTCAGAAATATCTTCTTAAGAAGATAATCATTTAAAATTCATATTAAAGGAAAATTTTCGCTTAAAATTTTACTACGATACAAAATGGTTATTAGACGCATACATAGAAATACAGTAAATAATGCAACTTTGTTTTTATTCGTATCTTTAAATATAAATAATTGTGTGCACAAGGATATCCCTGAATGATCGTTTTATAGCGAGCATTGCAATCAGTCTCAGATGCCGTATGACGGATTGGGATATTGAACGTATTAGTTTCAAAGTGCGAGCTGAAAGGGAATAATGAAAATGTACATTAGCACTAAACTGTACATATGAGCGTGCTTCTGCACTTGGCTTATGAGTTACTCGAATATGTATTGCGCTTTGAGACATGATAATCATGATGCAAAAGTTCGCTGAATTTAAGTTTTTATAACAAAAAAGAGAGATTAGAGAACAGTTAAAATGACCTTCGAAGAGATGAAGTGGTATCTTAATCTTAGTAGTACGGCGAGCTGTGTCCGCAACTCGACATCAAAAATAGGCTCTGATTTTGCGTGGGGATTTGCATCAGTCCTGCCATCCCAGCTCCTCCAGAAAGCTCAGCAGTCACCGGATGTTGCTGCAGGCCTCTACTAGTGTCCGCGGACTTCCCATTAGAGAAGTCTTTTGTCTTGCATCGCCTCTGCACTCCAGCAGAACATGGGCGCTCGTCTCCGATAAAGTGGTATGCACACCGGTTTTTATTGTGTCGCTTAGCCTGCGATCCTGAGTTCAAATCCCAGTGAGGAAATTTTTTGTGTGATGAATGCGAGTATTTGTATTTGAGTCATGGCAGTAATTATATTTTTAAATATACTTATATTATATAAAATTTACTATTTTTGTTATGCAACAAATATATATATTTCTATCTATTACTTCGGTATCTCATAATACAAGACTAACAATGCTTGCTTTATTTGTGCTTTGGCACTAGGCTAATCGGTTCGAAATGTAAGTAAAATATATATATTTATTATTAAGTTATTAGTATAATACTGCTTGCAAACTTAAGATGGATGTTAAGTGTATAAATTGGCTTAACTTTGCCATCAGTTATCAAAGTTATCTCGCACGAGTTTAATTGGAACGCGTTTAAATGAAATCAGCACCTCTATGACTCGTTTGAATATGAAGCGAAGTGATTCTGATGTCGTTTTGTAGCACACCTACAAACCGAACTCCAGTCGGGCAGATAATTTGGTAACTACGGGTTGAATGCATTCCGTATGGGAAGCGCTACATCATAAATGTGACGCGGAGTTTGGCTGACGAGAAATGACAGGCCGGCAAATTACTGAATTCCCATCTTGTCCGAATGGACTGTGTTTTGTATAATTTTAGCTCAGAACTTTTGCCTTCATATTAGGAAAGTACTGCATAGCAGCTTTTCCGCTCGAGTATAAACGCGCGTAAATAATAAAAAATCTTTTAGTCGTGTTGTGTTTCTAACGGTGAGATGAAAGTTTTCCAGGACTCAACGTGGTTAGCTATGGTGTCAAAGAAGGTCGCATAGACTTTCCATTTATCGGGCTGTTATGATTGTTTAAGTCATTTTAGAGATGTGAAGAAAACATCCGCGACCAGCAAACCTGAATCTTTAATTATTTAATATTTTTAATTTTACGATTAAAACAATCTTATGAAATTATACGACAACTTAAAGTATAAATTAAAAATTAGTAACGACGAAAATCACCATTCGTAACAACATTTAATTAATTTTCACATCAGCTGATGAAGCGTACATCTTTGCTTGGCGCCCTAATTAGTGACATGAATATGCATGCAAGCGTGTTTAATTTTAACGAATTCTGCCAGCTTTCTCCGAGTCGAAGTAAATAAATTAATGAAATATAAACGTGTAAACTTCATCTAGACGAGACGGTAGCGGCTGATCTTCTATATAATTTACTTGTAGGGTGACAACGACTGACCGCTCTGTTGCTAGGTAAATACTCATTCACAAATGGATTCTGAAACTAGTTATATTGTTAGAGTATATCCACGGTAGCAGTATATTAATGAAATTAATTGGAAAACTACTACCGCTAAGTAAGGAAGATACATTATAAATTACATAGCAAAGGTTTAGTACTTATTTATTGTGTAAAGTATCTAGAAAATATAGGTTTATGAAACGTGTAAATTTTTTTGTAAATAAATTAACATAAATATATACAACAATAGCTCAATAAATTCATATAATGAGTAGCTCGATGGCGCAGGTGGTTAGCGCGTTCGGCTGCGATCTCCCAATCTCCCTATTCCATCCATAGGGAAGGCCTGCGCCCCAGCAGTGGGGACATTAATAGGCTGATGATAATGATCCACATCTATTATAATGCCTATCGTAGTTGTCAAGCCAATATCTGCTATGTGCAAAAACTTTATCATAGCAGTTAATGAAATGAAATGAAAAGTCCTTTATTCAGTCTAGGCTGTTAAAAGCACTTGTGAAGGTCAGAAGCTACGCCATCGGTTCGCAAAACTACGGCGTGAGACCTTGTACTGAGAAGAACCGGCAAGAAACTCAGCAAGGGCTGCTTTTTTCTCTCTGTATTGATATATACAGAGTCGTCAAGTTGAAAAATTACTTAAGAGATACTTCTGAAGTCACCTTCCATTACATTCATTTAGGATATAGATATATACAGTTACAATAATAATTTTATATTTAGTATATAGGAAGCGGTATTAGATAGGTACCATATTACTGTTACTGACTAATACCCATCAAATAACAAATTACAAGAAACACTATGTTCATGCATTACGATCTTCTAGATAATCATTAACTTATAATAGCCTTTATTCATAAAAGAATTCTTGATCTGAGATTTAAATTTGCTTAAAGGAAGCTCAATCAGATCTTGGGGAACTTTGTTAAACAATGCAATACTACAACCCAGAAATGAACCTCTTGATTTTTGGAGTTTGAAACATGGAACGGCAAGCTTGTTCTTAAATCTCGTGTTAAAGTTATGGGTTTGACTTTTTTTTGCAAATGCGTCATAGTTTTTTCTTACATATATTATATTTTCATAAATGTATTGCGATGCCAGTGTTAAAATATTAATTTCTTTAAATTTTTCTCTAAGAGATTCTCTTGCCTTTAATTATATATGGCGCGAACAGCTCTCCTTTGCAGTACGAAGATACTTTCTATATTAGCAGCTGAGCCCCACAACAAAAGGCCATATGACATAACGCTATGAAAGCAACCAAAGTAAACCAATCTTGCCGTTTCCACATCAGTTAGGAGTCTTATTTTTTTAACAGCGAA